CCCCTTTTTTGGGGACGTTTTGGGGAAAATCCGGGATGGTTTTTTTTTTAAAAAATTTTTTTTTTTTTTTTTTTTTTTTTTTTAACCCCCCCCCCTCCCGAGCACTTACAGAAAGTAGTTGCCTCAGATTGCCTTCAGTCAAAAAAGCAGCTAAAACATCTTTGGTCTTCTCCATGATAACGCTGGAGGATTGTTCATTATTATGGTTGAACTGTAACTTATGGACTTCTATATTCTTTCTGTATTTTTTTTTTTTTTTTTATTGTTGTTTTTGATATTTTTAACCATGCTGATGATGGACCATCATCTGTGGTGTTACTGATCTACTTTTGATGAAATGCTGGAGCTCTTGTTTGCTGGTACATTTTGCAGATTTTATTCCAAAACGCAATACATCCGCTTCTTGACAGAAAAAAAAAAAAAAAAAAAAAAGGTGCTACTTGAAATTTATGACTCAACGTTTCAAACATCTGAACCCTTTCTCACTGTGGATATCTTCTAAGCTAACATATTTATGCCTGACACAGGTGCATCTCAATGAGCTAGAATATCAGCGGAAAGCTCATTTATTTCAGCAGATGAATCCAGAATATTATTATTTTAATTTTCAAGATTACGGCTTGCAGATTATGAGAACCTACAATTTAGTGAAAAAAATAGAGAATTTCATAAGACCAATAAAAATATGTGTATGTAGAGTATTTGCACTCAGTAATCTGGTTGGGGTTCCTCTTCCTTAAATTACTGCATTAATGTAACTTATCTTCTTTTTTATTTTTCCTTTTCCCCCTTTTTTTCCAGGCACCTTAATTTTTAAAATCCATAATAAACTTTTATACAATATGAACAGTCCAGTCTGAAGAAACTCTAAAAATTCTTTAAACTCTTGAATAAGAGTCATCTCACAGTTCTCTCAATACTGCAGTTATTTTATCATTTTCAGCTACACTTTTTTCTTCCACTAAACTTTTAATTGATATTTCTTTAGTTAAGATTTTGGTGATTTGCCTACCTCATGTGGGAACTCTAACTATCTGCTGGACAGTTGTTTAGTCAGCAGTTTTAGGATTACGTATTTCAGATCACAACATTCCTCTGTTTATCATCCATGCTTTATTTATTGGTCTTAAGACATTTTTGGATTTTTTGAGGAACACAATTTTGGGTTTTCATTTGCCGTAAGCCATAATCTTCAGGATTAACAGAAATATATGGAATCAACCAATTTATAAATGTTCCTTTTTCATCTGGATTACAAAAATAAATGAACTTTTTGATGATATAAGTTATTAAGCTACACCTGCATAGTGACAGTCTTTTATTTATAAAAAGTAGACCTTCCTCTTGTTATTTTTGGAAGTTGCTTTGGAGCGATAGATACTTTTACACTGACGCAGCACAGACATGTACAGCGGCCCCTGTGTTTCTCAGTCTTTTCACAATGATGTCCCCTCCTATCAGAGGTTTTTCTGTGTGTGTATTTGTTAGAACGTCTGTGTGCAAATGTGGATCCATTGAAATAAGGCCTATTCACAATCTCAACAGCAAGTACACCAGCCTTAATTGTGTGTCACAGACAGTGCTAGTGTTAATCCTGGATTGGTATTAAGGAACAAAACAAAAAGGGATAGTAGCTATATTTATCGTGGCCTCAGCAACACACAGTGCATTCTGCATGAATGGCAAGCTCACTCACCCAAGAGACCTGAAATACCCTGATGCATGAGTCTTGGAAATTTTAGCATGGCCTTAGAGAAACTGTAAATCTTGCTCTTTTTTTTGTTTTGTTTTTTTGATCCGTTTCTCTGAAGTTGTAACTTATTTTTGTATGTAAAGAAAAGACATAGGGAAAAGGAGAAATGGTGTCTTTGCATAATAATATCTCACCAAACAACAGCAAAACACAAAAAATGATCAGTTTATAGTCATTCAGCAATACCAATATCAGTAATCTCTGTCATTCCTGGGTCAGTTTATGGTAAAAGTCTTTATACAAGCAGAAATTCTATGCCATTGCCTCTAATATACCACAAATGTGTTGTGATGTATAGCCTGATAATACTTTATTTATCAATCGAAAGCCAAAGCACATTGAAATTCACCCAATGTCAAATCAATGCAGGTTTTCTATGGACACTTGTGCTTGTCCGGGCCATTTGTATGTATCTCGATGGTATTCTTAAAAACACACAAAAAAACAAAACAAACAAAAAAAAAAAAAAAAAAAAAAAAAAAAAAAAAACAAGAAGAACACTAATATGAAATTTCATACATATAATGTTGATCATTTGGAGCTGTGAGTTTGATATGTAAATAAAAGGGCCGGGTGGGTCGAATGGCTCTCAAATACACGTTTCATTATTTATTTAATTCATATTTATTTGTATCCCGGCTTAGAAGTGTTGTTCTAGAAATCCTTTTCATTGTTAGCTTTTCATCTTTGGGAATGTGATTCCGACACATGCTCCCTCTGAAGCCGTGTCGTATCGATTTTGCTTTTTTTTTGTGCAACTATTTATTTGCTCATCAGCCGAGTTGCGTGCAACATAACTTATACTGTATCTCCACTCTGCATCTGTATCATGTAGACTGTAACGACCGGTAGACTGCAGCCAAACTGTACATCTCCTTCTTTAATCTTATAGCTTACAAATGTTAAAGTAGTAGGAAACCACTGTAGGATACCTAACTCTAGACTTGCATGTACTGTTGCTATGCATTTACTTAGCTTACAACTTAGACAAAGCGTTTTTTGTATTTTTTATACATCATGTACTTTTTTTACTTGTCCCTTAATAAAAGTAATTTTGTGAGTTTTATGAAAGTATGAATTTGCGAGTTTCCTTGTGCGTTTTTTCTGTCAGTATTACTGGAGGATTTAAAGATCCCAGCACATAGTCGTTTGGATTTCCTATTTTTCCATTTATCCATCTTTTTTCCCAGTTATGGTCTTTCTTCACTCTCTCATAAACATGAAACCCTCCACATGTCCTGTCAAAATCCTTCCAACCTCCTTACTTCATGGCAGAAATCATTAAAATGTCCCTCTAAATTGGCTGTGTCCCCTCCTCTTTCATCATGTCCTCAGAAACACGGTTTGGACTACTCTCAGCCAAAGCATCACAAGCCTAATTATTTAATTGTTGATAGAAGTGTCCATTTGGAGACGCTCAGAGTAGCTTTTATAATGTATTCCTGTCATTCTATATTGTAAAATGTACAAAAAGCTGCTTGTATTAAACCCTGTGACAATCTTTGCGTTCCTTGGTTCCTGCTGGCTTCTGGTTTCGGCTCAGATTCACTTAATTAAGATTGAGCGGATATTAAAAAGGGGTAGATGACAACTATCGCTCTAATCCTACTCTAAAAACAATCATTAAGGCGATGACCCAATTGTTTTGCACACGCTTCTCCAGCAGGGGGCAATAACGAACGTGAAGCGTCACGTGACATCCGGGATTACGCAAAAAAAAAAAAAAAAAAGGCAGCGGAATTCTTTAACAGTTCACACTTTCGGCCAGATGGTGGCGGTAATACATCGACTTGTTTCGCAAGAAGAAGAGGAAGAACCAAAAAAAAAAAAATCATGTGACAGGAAGTTTAAATATATTTGTTTTGTTCTCTCGGTGAGCTGTCAGATGTAGTTTAATCTTTTTAGTTACACAAAGAGCCGGTGGGTGCAGATGTAAGTAAACCATCTTGCTTCGTTTCTTTACTTTCATGCCGATGATCTCGCTCAGTGACGAAAATATTGCTTTAAGAGTATGTCTATGGGGAAATACAGAGTCTGATTCCCTGTCTCCGAATATGATGCCACTAATTATTAGGTGTGTAAATGTTTCTGCAGCTTTCCTGTCACCATGGTGGAGCCCACAGCCTCCGGTGTGTTCTGTAACAGGATGCTGAGCATGGTGAACTCTGAGGATGTGAACGCCATCATCCAGGCGCAGAGACACATGTGAGTAGCTTTATGCAGGAGGTGATAGTGTGTGTGTGTGTGTTTTTTATTTTTTATTTTTTTGTCTGTAGTTGAGCTTACAGGGACTGTATGGCTCTGCAAGCGTTTTACTTCTAAACATTGAAATATCTTTGAGCAAAATAGCAATATCACACTCTGAATGGTGTCTGAAAATCTCTCTTTAAGTCATGTCACATGTCCTTAATTGGATATGAGTGTGTACAAGTCTGATGGGCCATTTCAACCAATCAATATGCTTCAATCTGATTATTTCTCTCCTTGCTGTGGTTGGTCAGTTAAGGTGGATGGCCATGTGCTTAATGCAAGGCAAGGCAACTTTCTTATTATTATAGCACATTTTCACAACAAGGCAATTAAAAGTGGAAAAAATAGTGATGGAATCACTGATACCTTGTGGTCTTGCCATTGTGGAGATTTAAATATACATCCATGTCTGTACTACTTTATTTTTCTTTTACTTTTTTTCCAGCATTGTGTGTTTTTTCTGTTTTTGACTTGTGCATGAAAAGGTCATAAATGACTGAAATAAATAAATTCATTTAATTTATTGGGATATTTATTTTAACCTAATCATGTCTGCTGTGTTCCCTGGTCTTTGTTGTTCTGTTTAAAGAATAAATGATGAGTGAAGAGTCTTGTTTAAACTAGATTTTAGTGTATCAGAGTAAAGGAGGTCTTTAATACAATCACACTTGCAGATTCTTAGTTGTAAAAAAAATGTTTCCTTCCATTTAACAAGTACGCACTTCTGGTTGGTTTAATCAGATAAAATTCTAATGCATACATTTGTGATTGTAATGTGGTGAAAATTGAAGTAAATCTTTTTTTTTTTTCCGGCTTCTCTTGTGCAAATAGGCTCGATCGCTTTGAGAAAACCAATGAGATGCTGATCAACTTCAATGGCCTGTCGAATGTGAGGCTGCAGCAGATGAACGAGCGTTTCCTGCTTCACACTCGCACCTTGGTTGACATGAAGAAGGACTTGGACAGCATCTTCAGGAGGATTAGGTTAGTCATCAGTCTCTCTCCCTCTCTCTTTTTTTTTTCTTTTTCAGTCACATCTGCAGTGTGCACAACACAATTTCTGACCCCTGGATCTTTCTCTTGTACTTTAGAACATTGAAAGGAAAGATTTCAAAGCAATACCCAGAAGCCTTCAGCAGTAAGTTAACAATTTTTCTTTAGCTACTAATTTTGACAACAAATTTTGCGTTTTTAAAGAGTTTCAAATTTATGATTGTGCTTTAAAAACTTGAACATGTTACGTATTTATAATGCCTTCCATAAGCACTCATTGCTAAAAAGCTTTTCACAACCAGTCATTTGAAATCATTTTATATTGATTTTATTTAATAGACTAAAATAAATGTAATGTTTGTTGTCGGGCAATTAAAAATGTGAAAAACTCAAGTATTGCTACTGGTATTGTTTTACCTCTTTCAAAGTGGCATTAAAATGTGGATTTCTTTAACATTTTAATTAAAACCTTTTTTTTTCATAAATATAATGAGGTTTGCCCTTGATGTTGAATGTTCTGAAACCATCAAACTTTCTATGTTTGTGACTTAGAGGTTTAAACACATTTAAAATAAAATATAAGTATATCTTTTGTTTATTTTCTGACCCTTTCTTGTGATGTAGATTGTGTTGCCTTCCAATAAACTCTACAGCAGCTTAACCTTTTTCTTCAATGTCAGACATCAATGAGTCGCCAATCTTGGAGGACGACGACGACGAGGAATTCGACCCTATTCCTCCAAGCGTTGCTACGACAACCAACACAGCTACATCAGAGCAGAGCACAGAATCCTGCGACACGAGCCCCGATGTGATCTCGCCCACTGTGAGCAGATGCTCTGAAGATCTGTCTCAGGAACCGCCAGATACGCCGACCTCTGACCTCCTTGAGACGGCTGTGCTGCGGGATGAGGGTCCCGACTCTGTACCTGCAGAGTAGAATGGAAGGTTTTCAAATAGATTCTTAAACTGAGAGTCAATCTAAAGTCTGCTATGGCAGCAGGTACATTGTGTGTTTGCATAAGTGTCGGTCTTTCTAAGATTACACAGATTACATCTCTGAGAAATTAGAGGATTATTGTTGGCATGCTTACATGTTTTGTGCTTTTATAGCTACTAAATCATGCCAAAGAAATACTTGAAGTCATAAATTATGTCAGTGTAGATGTATGTGGTAGTCCTAACAGTGAATCTGTGCTGGATTTTTTTTAATTTTTTATTTATATGTTTTTTGTTTGGAAAGATGCATGTCTAATTCAATAAATAGACTTACATTAATGGCATCGTGATTAAAATGCACAGTGTTCCTCTCTTTCTAAATATAATTAAATTAGTGATAAAGAATAACTCATTGTATGTCTCATAATTGATTATTAGTCTTATTAATGTTACTAAACATATCCTTAATAACTTTATAAATGTATCATTTTTTACTCTCATTGTTCAGTTTTTAAGTCGGACATTTATCAACAATCACTCTCATCCACCACTTCAAGTATCTTTTGATTTGACCCATGATCTAAACGGATATTCAATAATATTAAATAATAATTTAAATGAATAATACACATTTTCTGATTTTATAGTTTATACAAATCTTTTTTATTCTACAATAACGTGCAATAACATTGATAGCCACTAGATGGCGCTCACACTAAATGACATACGTTTCTATCCAATGGGACAATGGAGTAAAACAAGACGGCAGCGAATCATCTTCCCCCAGGTAACTTCCTTTCCTTCCTGTGTTGTATTTCCTGATTAGTAAGAAACATCATATGGACTTAAAAAGCACGTTTTAAAAACAGAGTTTTGGCGTTAGAAGCTCAGTCGTACGCAGTCACGTTTGAACCAGTTAGCACGCCGTTTAGCTCAGTAGTTGTCATGGAAACTCTCACTAATTACTGAATGTATCCAGCTAGCTAGCACCCTGAAAGTATTCACTTTTATGAGGGGTTTATACCTCTGCTGCTGGCCCCAAACATGAGGAGAATATCCAGGAAGAAAGCTCTGACTCTGGTGAAGGAATTAGATGCTTTCCCCAAAGTGCCAGAGAGCTACGTGGAGACCACAGCCAGCGGAGGGACAGGTACTAGCTAACAACACAAGCACAAACCAGCTGCTACAGCTGTTTTATTAACTGTCGATCTCTGAAACTGTCCTCAGTCTCTCTGGTAGCTTTCTGTCTCATGGCGGTCCTCGCCTTCCTGGAGTTCTTTGTGTACAGAAACACATGGATGAACTATGAATACGAGGTAGACAAAGACTTCACCAGGTAAAAGCTATAACATGATCCAGCCTTATCTGCTATGAAGTGTCTGTCCTCATCAATGCTGTTCCTCATTTACAGCAAACTCAGGATCAATGTGGACATCACAGTAGCCATGAGATGCCAGTGTAAGTGCATACATTCATATTTTAATAAAATGTTATCGCTGGTTTTGTAGTCATGATTGAATTGGTTTCCTACTATTTAAAATTTAAAAACTGCGTAAAATTGCATTTACCTATTAAACTGGTAATTTCACTACTTTGCTAATGATTTAAAGTTGTTTTTTACTGGTAGTCCTCTAAATGGCAACTTGCTATGAGAATAATACGTCTTCAAAAGCTACAAATTTAAACTGAAAACCACTGCTTTAGTCGTTTTTCGAGGTTTTCTACTTGTTTTTTTATATTTCTTGTGTTTGTGATTTATAATGCAGACATAGGAGCAGATGTCCTGGATCTGGCAGAGACTATGGTTGCTTCAGATGATTTAAAATATGAACCAGTGAGTTTTTACTTAACTATTCTTTTCACAGTGTCAACGCATCTCTATTCTTCTGTGATTATTTCTTGTCTTTTCACATTTCAGGTCAAGTTTGAACTCCCACCTGAGCGAAAACTGTGGCAAATGTAAGTTCAACAACCGTCCCCTAAACAAGATGATTAACTTGAAGCAGCCTATCTGCATATCGGTTTATGAATGTGTGGCTCTGGCGTTAATTGCCTTGTTTTCCACTCCTCTCGGCCAGGACCCTCCTGCACATCCAGGAGCGTCTCAGAGTGGAGCACTCTCTGCAGAACGTTCTCTTCAAATCTGCAATGAAAGGACCTGCTCCTGCTCAGAGAGAAAGGTGAAAACCCTGGCTGACCTCGTGATCAGTGTACACACACACACACACACACTGATGAACCTGAACATCTTCAGCTTTTACTTTTAATTTTCCGTCTGCAGTGATGATGACTCCAGTTCACCCAGTGCCTGCAGGATACATGGACACATGTATGTCAACAAAGTGGCAGGGAATTTCCACATCACTATCGGCAAGTATGTATTTCCGTCTTTGATTTCATTCTTTGACTTGCAGTTTCTGCGTTAGGCCTTCACTTCATCCCATTGGGTAAAACTATTTTCCTTGTGCACCAACACAAAAGGCTCGCCCATTGAACCTTATTGGTTCAGGCAGCACAGTCAGCTCTGTGTTACTGTACCACAAGCTTTTTGTAAATGATTCATCAGTTTGTCAGGGGGGAACAAAAGTATCCTTCTGTTTTGTTAGATAAACTCATAAAATTTGTTTCAATGATATTTGGTTCCTCAATATTTGATGACTTTGGTCAATTTGATCATCACTGCGTTGTAACCAGATGTTACCTCTTCATCCAAACTCATTTCTATCTCATACTTATGTGATTAACTGTTAGCATATATTATTTTTATGTTAATAAACCTATTTCCAGCATTTTTTTTTTCATTTGGGGCATTTGACGATAATGTAAAATTAGCCCCTGATCAAACCAAAATAACCAGGTTTCCTCCAGCTGAGATGAGTTTCACTGGACTCA